TACAACAGGAAATGACACTCAAAATGTTGATATGCCAGTTTTCTGTGCCTTTGCTGCTTCCAAATTGTAAGACAAAACCGTGCACACTCATGCTGTGGGCCATGAGAGACATTGTTAAAAAGTACAGACCTCAGTCACTGTCAGAATCCAAGGGCTTTATTGAAGACAGAGTCGTTCTCTCTGAGCTTCCCATGGTGTCCTTTGTGAGACTGGGTGAGTGCTCCTTGTCCAAGTCAGAAACCCTCAATAAGCTTCTGAGCAATTCCCAGCAGTACCATGACACATTTGTTCACCGCAACATGGAGTGTGCTGACAGTCCAAGGAGAATATCCAATGGACTAGCTGAAATAGCATGGTACCTTCCTTGTGGAAACAAAAACATTGATATTTTCACTGAGCCGGTAGCTGTAGCCAACCTTCGTGGGGACATTGGTGATTTTGAAACACAATTTTCTTTTTTGTGTCAGACATCTGCAGCAGTTTTTGTGTTCTTTGACAATTTGGACACTGAGAGCAAACTGCTTACTAACAAACACCACAAGGCACAGATCTTCTTGGTTGGCAACCATCAGAGCAAGAGCTTCAGTCTGGATGCTCTCAAAAAGGTAGCAACTACAATGGACTTAAATAACAGCAACATTATTTTGAAGACTAAGCAGAAAAATGATGCAGACTTTGTCCGGAACTTGAGAAGAACTATCAGTGATGTCATTGAAAACACAAAGATAAAGATGAAGATGAAGATGAAAATAGAGAAAATGGCTGATGTTGCCCATGAGCTGGGAATCTTGGTTGATCAAGACCATGCAGAGTGCCAGAATGCCAAGAGAAATGCAGATGTCATCACCGCAGAAATTCTAGACACCCTTAAATACAAAGAAGCTCAACTTCCCCTGCAAGGCCAAATATGGAAGGAACTGGCGAAATTAGAGAAAGAAAATTTTTGACTTTGAAAGGTTGGGTCACAAAACATAGAATTGTACAAAAGTGATCTTAAGGAACAGAAAGTAAAACTTCAGAAAAAACAGAACTCTTTTAACATGTCAAATGAACTGCTTCTTAAAGCAATATCAAGCTCAGGAACAGAGAGATGCTATTTCCTGAAGTGGATGAGAATG